TGCTATTTTTTTTTTATTTTTTATTTTATTTTATTTATTTATTTTTTTTTATTTTTTATTTTTTATTTTTTTTTTTTTTTGCGGGACCGGGGATTGAACTCAGGACCCTACGCTTGCCAGGGAAGTGCTTATTCCATGGAGCCACCTCCCCGGCCCCTAAGTATTTTGTTATAGTGAATGAAAAGTTAAGTATAACACACAAAAATAATGAAAAAAAAAAGACTTAAAATGAAGAAAAAAAATTTAACTCCTAAACAAAAATTATCCAGAATGCAACTCTGAATAAGAAATACATAGAAACTATGAGAAAATAAGATGAATGAGAAAGTGTAATGTGTATCTAATTGGTATCCTACAGGATGAAAACTGAACATAGGAAAAACAAAATTTAAGAAGTTGAATATCAAGAAACCAACATAAAATTTACATTAGGGAGTTCCTTAAGCCAAACACAGTGGCTCAATACCAGCAATTCCAACAGTGAGGGAGACTGAGGAGGAGGACTGAGTTCTAGCACAGCCTGGGCTTCACAGTGAGGAGCGGAGGGGCCGAGGAGTGAATCTGCAATAGAGCAACGTGAAGGACAGACAGCCCTTCTAGTAGGAGGCAAACAATCCGAGATGCAAGATGAGATGAACAAAGACATACAGAAAAAAGAAAAGAAAAAGAAGTAGCGTAAGACTATTTGCATTTAGGGGCCAGGAAGATAGCTCAGTAGAATAAGTGCTTACCTGGCACGCACAGGGGTCTGAGTTCAATCCCTGGTTTTGCTAAAAAAAAAAAAAAAAAAAAAAAAAAAAAAAAAAAAAATAGAAAAAGAAAAAGAAAAAGAAGAAAAAAAAAAAGAAATTTATTTTAAGGGGCCAGGGAGATGGCTCAGTAGAATAAGTGCTTCCCTGGCAAGCACAAGCGTCTGAGTTCAATCCCCGGTTCTGCAAAAAACAAAGACACACAGAGAAACCTAACTCAACATGGACTCCATTAAAATATGACAATGTATAATTAATGAGGACAGAAAAAAGTAGATTGCAAAATAAATTAGGACAGGGACATGACAGGACTTAAAATAGTCACAAGTTCAGCCTGGGCAACTCAGTGAGACTCCATCCCAAATATATAAAAAGGGCTGGGGATTTGCTCAACAGTCGCACTTTTGCTTAGCATGTGCAAGACCAGGCTTTCAAAATCTAGTACAAAATAAAAAAGAGGCTCTTTGAGCAAAGGCCAAGGAGAGTTAGGGGCAGAACTGTACATTTTACAGAAGGATCACAGGAATGCTCATATCTAGCTATTGAAGTCATAGCCCCTTTCAAGACCTCAGATCACTCTGTATTTACATTAAGTGATTTTTGCCCTTCCCCAACACCTCAAAGGGACACAAGTATCACTCAGAAATACAGAACTTTCAATGCATTTCTTTCTGTCCTTTCCTACCTTAACCCATTGAGCAGAAAACCACGAATTAGCAGAAATTGGAGGAAAGTAAGATGAAATGACAGAAACCAAAACCAGAAGAAAGTAACTGGCAGAAACACATTACTCTTAAATTTAAAAAAGACCATCAAGCCAGACATGGGCATTCTGTACCCTAGCACCAGTGAGGATGAGGAGGTTTGCTGCACACTTGAGGTCGGCCTGAGGTACAGGGTGAGATCCTCTCACAAAAAAACTAAATAAGCTAAAATAAAATAAAAATTAATGGCCGGTGAGATAGCTCAGCGGACTCAGTGCCTGCTTAGGCAAGCACAGAGACCCCTGTTTGATCCCCAGCCAGCCCCGCTCTCTGGGCGTGCTGAGCCAGCCACAGAGACCAAGCATGGTTTCACATGCCTGTAATCCCAGCGCTGGGGAGGCTGAAAACAGGAGGATCACTACGAGTCGGAGCTGCTTAGTGAGACCCGGTACCAAGTATATTAAAAAAAAAAAAAAATTAAAAGAACATCAATTATGTTCAAGTTTGGTCTGTACAAACTTATTTTGTGCATTCAATTTTGAATCTGCATGATTCGGAGTCTAAAAAAATTCTGGGTCACTGGCTAAGGGCTAATTTATATCATGTACATGGCATAAAACTAAAAATTGTATATATGTATAAATTTATTACTTAAGGGTAAACAGGTAGCTTTTAAATGGTATTAATCCATGAAATCAATTTTGGTAATATAATTATAGTAAGAAACCTTGATTTATTATGAACAGCATTATCATTTTCCAAACATGAATAAAATCATCAGTGTCATGTCCGCAGGTTCTTATTTCATATGCTTTCCTATTCTAGGCTGGGTAGATCGATTAGAGGTTCTTTTTTTTGGTGCTGGGAAGCATGTCCCGCTATATCTGATTCTTAAATATAAATTAACCTTTGGACTGAGTTTAGTAGCTCACATCTATCGTCCCTGCCTTTGGGAAGCTGAGGCAGGATTGACAAAGGAATTAGAGGCCAGCCTGGGCTACATCATGAGACGCGGTGTCAGAAAACATAAAACAAAAAAATTAACCTGTGAATCTTTGAATGTGACTGAACCATCTGTGGATGTGCTGACAGATCCATTACTGTTGATAAATTTGCGTTTGAATGAGGGTTTATTAATTGTAGTTACTATATTTATGCCTAATTACTACCTTCTTACTGGACAAGCGACCACCTTTCTACACAATGTAGACGAGTTGGTATTTCACTAAGACAGGGCAATTCAGTTAATGATTATCTTCTATATTTGCTAATGTAGTTTGATCACACAAAATAATGAATAATTTTTATTTCGGAATTAATGAGCTCATCTTATTACAGGTCCCAGGAGGCATAATTTCTAGGCTGACAATAACCACAAACTTTTTTAAGGTGTCATTTATAGGTTTTGCCTAACTGCATAATTTTAGCCACAATGACATATTAGTCGCAATCTGAGGTCTAATGATGACATATAACTTTTTAAAGAACAATCGTTCCCTAAATTAGATAAACTGTTCCTTTCATGATTGCTTATGTCTTGGGATGGCACATCTTTAGAAATTTGCACTCAGAGCCTGGTGTGGTGGCATACGCCTATACTTTTAGCTTTCTGGAAGGCTGAGGCAGGAGGATCAAAATTCAAACACAGCCATGGCAATTTAACAAGTTAGACAAAATTTAAGGCGGGGGGCTGAAGATGTAGCTCAGTGTAGTTTTCTACAAATATTCAGAGCAAGAGAAGTCATGAATATACACAATGCCTACCATAGGAAGCAAAATGTGAGGCTTATAAAAAAGTGCCAAAAATGAGAGTGAAAATGAAAAAAATTTTGGATAATTTTTTAGTTTACTTAAAGGGGTGAAAATATCTCCTGAAAGGGGGTCTTTCTTGTTGGTTGGTTTTTGTTTTGTTCTTTTCACTCAGGGTCTCCCTGTGTCGTTCAGGCTGACCTGGAACTTACTACAAAGACAAAGCAGGGCAGGAGCTCCTGGCAATCCTCCTGTCTCAGCCTCTGAGATGCTGCAGTCACAGGTGTGAACCACCACAGCTGGCTAGGGTGGCTTGGAGTCCTGTAAGAAGACCCCCTACGGGTAGGAAATCATTACAAATGTAAACCACTCCAAGGCCATTAATACTAAAGAGTTCTCATAAAACTGTGAAATAGATATAAATAACTTCAGTATTTATTTTTGCACTTTATAAAATATAATGTGTGAATAAAAACTCAAATCTCAAATATTATATACCGAATAGAATTACTGTTTTTTTGCTTTTTTAATTTTTTTTTTTTAAAGAAGCCACTGGTATCCATACATGGACTCTCTTAAGTAAACCAACACTCTACTCTTATGAAGTGAGAGTACAGTATAACTGGTTTGAGGCTCAGGCACTGGCACCAGGTTTTACAAAAGGCTCTCCTTATGGGCCTGGGAAGACAGGCTCAGCAGTCTTAGCGCTTCCTTGGCAAGCACAAGGACTCAGTTTTGATCCCTGGTACTGCATGCTGTGCCAGCCCTGAAACCAGGCATGGTGGCGCACACCTACAATCCAGTGCCGCAAGACTGAGACAGGAGGATCACTGTAAGTCGGAGCTGCTAGAGAGACCCAGTACCAAATAAAATTCTCTACATGATTTTAATGTGTAGCCAGGACTGCAGCACGCCGGGCTGGATGGTGGTCGGGCAGTTTTGATCTTCCTAATAGTGAATTTAGTTTTTCTGCCCTTTCTCCTTTTTGGTTCAATAAATATTAAGGATTTTCCAATACTATTTTGGTAACATTGGCAAGTTTGCCAATGCGATTTTTATGAACTTCACTCACTACGTGCCAGCGAAAGATGCCACGCTTTTTAAGTGCATCTTTTTCATTTCACGTGCATGTCGACTCCTGAAGTAGGTGTCACTTTCTTTGCCCACAAACGAAGCCCAAGCTCTTGCTCGCGAGCCCACACTCTTTTTTTTTTTTTCTGAGTCCTGACGGCCAACTGTTGGGCAATCAAAGTCTCTGGGCGATGATTAAGGTTATCTGGGAAGACCAACAAGGAACAAGCACACAAATGACACACAAAAAGGTGTGGCGGTCACCCGGAGGCGGAAGCCACAGCCGGGTGACCAGACCTTCGAGACCCCCACTGCCTGCAGCCCGCCCCCGGCCACCCCACCCGGCCGTGCCCCACCTGGCCCTGCGTCTACAGATCCCTGGTCTTCCTTGGCCAGCGGGAGGGACACAGTAACCTACAAACGAAGGAGTAACAAGGACCGGTCGGATCAAAGGGGACCGAGAGCTGCAGACCCCGGGCCGCGTTCCGCCGCAGCAGGCGTGATTGCACCGCCGCCGCCCTCGCGGAGGAGACTCGGATTTGAGGAAAGGGATGTGGGCTGGGCCACGCGAGGGCTCAGGGCACGCGGTGGCGGCTGACAGCTCCGTCCCAGACACCGGCCCGCCCGAGGGCATTTCTCTCCGCCGCCGCGCCCGCGCCCAGTTGCCAGGGCAACCCCACGCGTCTGGGACTGGCACGGGGCTCGCGGCCGGAAGTGACGCGCGTTCACCTGCCGAGCGGGGGGAGGGGCGGCCGAGGTGCCACCGCCTCTGCAGCCGCCGCGAGCCAGTCGGGAGCGCGCGGCGCCGGCGGAGCCAGACCCCAGCGGGAGCCGCCTACCTGCAGCAGCCGTCGCCCGCGGCCCGCAGCAGCGCCATGGCTCTCCTGCTGCGCGTGGTGCTCCTGTGCGGAGTCGCCGGTGAGTGGGCGCTGCCGGTCCCGCGCTTGCCCATCCCGCGGCGCTCGCCGCCCGCGGCCACCCGGGAACAATGGGGCGTGGGGGAGGGGGTGGCGGCCTCCTCCGCGCGGTCGAGCGGCCCTGGGGTGCGGTGTCCAGGGGTGCGGGACCCTGCGACCCTCCCCCAGCACCCTCCTCCGCGGCGCGGGCTTCCATTGCTCCTGCCAGGGCTGTGGTTAGCCCCGTGTCGGGTCCGTCCGGCGGTACCCGATTTCCCATCCCGCGGCGGCAAGTTTTCAGGTGTCCGAGCCAGCAGGCTGAATGGCAAGCGCCGTCGTTCCGCGCGCGCCGGGCGGTTCTGTGCCTCCAGCGGTCCCGGGGATCGAGAGGAGACGCGCGGGGGCGCCGGCCGCGCGGTCCTGGCTCGCGGGAGAGCTCGCCTCGGACCCGCCGGCGGCGCGCTGCCCCGGGATCCCGAAGAAGACCGTGGGAAATTTAAACGAGGGGCGCGCGGGAGGCGGCACGGATGGCGGCTGCATTCCCGGGTGAGGTGTAAGGGTGCATTTGGTAACCTCGGGTTTGAGTTTGTAATGAGTTGGTTCATTTTGAAGAAACGGCGTGGTGACTTGTGTGGGGTGACTCCTCAAGGTTCGCCAGATACCTTTTTCTGGGCAGGAATAAAAGGCTTTTAAAAAATGTCTGGAGCATAATAAGATGTAAACATTTGGACACTCAAACACTGGTTTTTTTCTTGTGCATGTTCTCACCAAGTGATCTTTGTTGGACTAAGCGCTTGCCTTCAGCCAGACGCGTCATTAAAATAGAAAATCCATAGGCAGTACTTTCGGAGGCACACTGCACTTTGTGGAGCCTCTGGAAGGATTTTTTTTTTAAGCGCTCAGAAGCAGGATCAGGTGGCCCTGTGTGTTGGGATGACTCCGTGCTTCCTGTTGAAATGGTAATTCCATTGTTGGATGCCACAGCTGTGAGCCTTACTCCTGGGACCACATTCTGTTAGCAAGTCCAATCATCAGTGAGAGTCATCAGTGAGGCTAGAGTGCTACCTCCATCTTTTTTTTTTTGATACATATCGTTTAGGTTTGTCTGAAATTTCCAAAGTAAATCCTTTGGAAAATAGGAAGGGTCACATAACCACTTAACGTGGTACAGTCCCACCTTTGTTTTGTCGAGGCTTAAACTCAAATTGAACATAAAGGTTGTGTGTGTGTGTGTGGGGGGGCATGTTTTAGACCACATCTAAAGCGGAAAAGTGTAAGAACAAAAAACGGCGAAGAGGAAGTGTGTGTGTAGGGGTGGGCTTTTCAGATACTCAGATTTTTTTTTTTTTCTTCCTGAGGTGCCTCATTTTGATAGGCACAGTTTTGGAGATGCTTTCATACATACAGCCATTCTGCTCATAGAGTGTACATCAGGGTGTAATGAACTTATTAAAGGGCTGATGTCTTCAGGCAAATAAGACCATGCCATCCCCGTTTTTCAGCTTAATCAACTCAGAAACTGGAGTTAATTTGTGGCTTTCAATATTTCTGATCATCTTAGATATGCATTGTTATGAACTAAAGTTTAGCATTAACATGTTTAAATCCTATAGTGGCAGAACTAGCATATGAAGTTTCGGTGCTATAGTAATGTCTATTATAGATTTGTCTGTATAGATTTTTTTTTTTTTTTTAAATTTCGTTTAGCTGTGTAGTTCAGGCTGACCTTGAATTCATTACGTGGCCCAGCCTGTCCTGGAACTTGCATTGATCCTCTCTCAGCTTCCAGAGTGCTGGAATTACAGGCGTGCGCCACCACGCTTGGCTTGTTTCTACAGAGTTTTGTAGTATACTGTTTGCTGGTGGCACTTCAGTGATGCATTTTTATGGCCCATGTAATAGAAAGTCATACTGTTAGTAATAGTAGCAACAATGATAGAGCAGTGGCAGTACAATGTTAGTAAAATTAAACCCTTAACTGAGTAGTTATTAAATGCCCAACTCTTTTCTAAGGGTTTTACATATATTCACTTCGTTTGTCAACCAATCCTTGAGGATGCTCATAGTTTTTCCATTTGTACAGGTAGAGAAACTGAGGAACAGAGTAGCTATATAACTTGCCAGGGTCACAGATTTCCTACTCAGTCTGCTCCTATCACTATCCTGTTTGGCCTCTGAAGCAGCCATTTCACTCTTTGATTACTTCTAATTGATATTCTAATTTCTGTCACTGATAATCTGTCATTTTATTGGGACCCTGCTGTTGCTTTGGCATTGTACCAAGAACCAGAGGCTTTTTTTTACTGGGTTTTTAGTTTTGTGATCTTAGTTGAAAACTTTGAGGAACTGTGAGAAATCTAGGATTCTCCACGGCTGAGACGGGTGATGGAGGCTAACATAGACTGTGTATCAATGATATTTACCTTACAGATGTTAATAAGATGCTGTTGGTTTGGACAGTACCACTTGAGTGAAATTTTACAAAGCCCATTCTACCAATCACTTACCCTTCTAGTGTCAAAGCCACTGTCATCTCCTGTGCCTCAGTGGCTTTACCTATCAGGGATAGGGGTATTGCTAAGGGGGTTGGGGAGATGTTAGTCAAAAAATACCGTATTTCAGTTAAATAGGAATAATTTCAAGAGATCTTTTCAGCATACTGATTATAGTTAATAACAGGTACTATATTCTTGAAAATGGCTAATGGTAGATTTTATATCTTGCCACACCAGAAGAATAAGTATGGTGTGTTCATTAATTAGCTTGCTAGTCATTCCCCAATGCTTTATCTCTGGTCTTGCTCTTCTTGTTGTTTTACTTCCCTGCTTCAGTTGCCAGAGGTAATGATAACTCTTGTGCCAGATTTATCTCTTTGGAACCCTTTGACATCTATTTTAGTTCTTTCCAACCTTGTTGACCTGCTCTTCACTTCCTTTTAAAGATAGGTCTCTTAAATGTCAGCTTTCCTGTGCTTTTAGCTCGGAGTCCTCTTCTCAGTCTGCATCTTAAACCTGGGGACCTCATCTGTCCCTGACTGTAACCTCCAAGTAGTCACTACTAAAAGAAAAATATTTTTAGCTCAGTTAATTTCTTTGGATTCTGGACCATTGTTTTCTTTTTTTTTTTTTTTTTTTAAAGAGTTTCCTAGACCAGGTTTTTTTGTGGAACCGGGGATTGAACTCAGATCCTTGCGTTTGTCAGTCAAGCGCTTATCCTACTGAGCCATCTCCCCAGCCCCCCATTGTTTTCAACTGTTTCACAGTCTCCTTCCATTTGAGTGCGTCAGATTAAGGCCCCAAGTGAAATTGTGCGCTAATTAAGTGACCTAGCGATTCAGATATTTATGGCATAACCGTGCCCACTGTTAGGTAACCCTACAACATTGGATATTACTGCAAGTTACAGGAGGTTTGAAGATGCCAAACAGATTGTACAGTTCCTGCAGAGACAGCTATCGCAAGGGTATGATGTGTCTTAGGAGCTGAGAAGTTTAATGCGTATAAAGAATCTTTACCAATACTGCTCTAACTTTATGGTGCTTCTGCGTCATTCTTGTAAGAAGGCCTAGGGTGGGGTCTGAGTTTGTTTCTTTTTAATAGACTGAAAATGATGTCACTGCTAACTTCAAGTGACAACAATCTAAAGGCCAGGCTGACAATTTCATAGAAGACCAGGGGTGGTCATGTACTCCCCAACACCTCCCAAATAGAAAAATAAATTTTGGAGATGTTGAAGATGTGAGCTTGTACGCTAAGACTCTGAGATGGTAATCATGCTGTAGTTCTGGAGTTAGGTGGAACCAGTACCTCTAACATCGGCATTTTATCTGGGATGATCTGGAATTAAGCAATCCCTCTGGAAACTGCAGAGTGCTTTTGGGCTTCCTCATTGGTGTGGAAAGCTTTTCTAAGGAACCCGCAGTTAAACCTGATGCCTGGTTGCTTCAGTGGGTGCTAGGAAAGAGTTGGTGAGAGGCATTATGATTGCTAGCTTGATTATATGGGCAGGACTGGGAGCATTGTAGTGCCTAAGAAGCCCAGAGGTGGAAACATACCCAGTAGGAAGATTAAAACAAGGGGCTGGATCTCAGGGACAGTGGAAAGATTGGAAGTGTAGCGTTGAAAATTCGCTGATGATAGGTTTCAACACCTAAGACTAACCAGGCAGAGCAGTAGAACTAAGGCAGAGATTGGAACCTGAGGCAGGAGAAACAGCCTGTAGTAAGTAGACAAGATGAACCTGGGAGCAGGAAGGAGGGAATGTAGAATTGGTGGGGGTGGTATCCTAGAACCTGATGAGAAACGAGGCAAGGCCTTATCCTGAGGAGACTACTGGGAAAGTCAGTGGTTATCAGTTCCACAGAGAGGAATCAATAGGTTGAGTGGGCACCAGGTTAGGGGAGTGAAAACTGTACTTTGTACTTGTACATGATTTGACAGTGAGGTTGTTGAAGTGGCTATAATTCCAGAGGTCAGGAAGCATGGAGGTAGAAGCCAGCAGATAAAGACTTTCAGCCTTTCTCCAGGCCTACCACCTGGCCCAGCTCACATCATCATTCTTCTCTATAACACTATTCCTTGGCCAGAGATATGGCTCAGTGGCCTAAGCACCTGCCTGGCAAGCACAAGGTCCCGAGTTCAATCCCCAGGACCACAAACAATGACTGTTCCTCCTTCACATAAATTCCTGAACTTTTGGGTTTTCCAGGAATGTGACTGTACTATCCTGATTCATATCTAGACCCTGTAAACTTTATGCCTATTTATTCCTCTTTGTATCTCTTAAACCTTATACCCCTCCTTCATTGCTTTTTTTTTTTTTTTGACGGAACTGGGGACTGAACTCAGGCCCTTGCTCTTGCCAGGGAAGCACTTATTCAGCTAAGCCATCTCCCTGGCCCAAAAGTAATTTTTTTTTTTTCCCCGGTGCCAGGATTGAACTCCGGACTTTGCCAGGCAAGTGCTTATTCTACTGAGCTGTCTCCCCAGCCCAAAATGGCCACATCTTTTTATTTTTTTTGCA